TCATTTTTAACTCAAATGTATTAGAATATGTATTTTTAGTTTTTTTAAGCTAGGAAATTATCAAATACATCTCATAAGCTCAATTATTAAAAGCAGTCAATATTAAAATGATATCAAAACTATTAGAATTGGTTTATCCATGTTTATAATAAGTCATAAAACCAAGAATAAATCTATATGGTTTTTCTCATTGCTTACTTCATAATAATAAAACATAATGTCCAGCTGATATAAATGTTATTTATGAATTAGAGTATATGAGACAGTATTTCTTCAGTATGTCTATGTGTATATTGAACTTTGGTTTTCAGCTTTTAGGAATAACTGAAGAATAATAATATATAAATATTCTAGAATAGCTCTAAACATTTTTTGGAAATCATAATCAAAACGTTTCCTATATATTTAATGAAGAATAAAAGAATATGTTATTTAAAAAATAATTACCCCAGAAGCTACAGCGTAATTTTATTTTTGTTAATAAGAGACAGAAAAAGTCAGGATTTAAGTATTTCTCTGATTCAAAATAGAACTTGATAAACTAAGTGTATCAGATACAATAGGCTAGGTCATGCTCCAGTAACAAACAACAAATTTGTATGACTTATTAAAACAACAATGGTTCATTTCTAATGAAAGCTGTATTTTCATTATGGCGGGCGGAACAGGATCAGCCCCTCATGATGACTCAGGAGCATGGCCTGACAGAGCAATGACTCTGTCTCAGAGGGAAGGAGAGCTCTGGGAGCTTCATCAGGGAAAACAACCACCCTAATCAGAAGATGACGCTTCACTTCTGCTTGTATCTCATTGGCCAGAAAGAGTCACATGGCCCTAACCAATCTCAAAATTCCCATGAAATACAGTCTAGCCAAAGTGGAAGAAAATGGAAAAGATTTGGGGAACTGTATTAGTGATTATCACAACATATTTTAACCTTCATTGAACAACACATACCAAATCTAAAATAAAATTATGTATGACTTTTGCACAGTTTATTCCAGTGCAATGTGAAAAATATGAAGGTCCCTGAAAATAATCTGTATAATATTTATAATGATCAGTGTCCCGGTCAGGTGCGGTGGCTCACATCTGGAATCCCAGCATTTTGGGGACCAAGGCAGGTGGATCACCTGAGGTCAGAAGTTTGAGACCAGCCTGGCCAACATGGCAAAATTCTGTCTCTACTAAAAATATAAAAATTAGCTGGGCGTGGTGGCAGGTGTCTGTAATCCCAACTATTCAGGAGTCTGAGGTATGAGAATCACTTGAACCCAGGAGCCGAGATCATGCCTCTGCACTCCACCCTGGGCAACAGAGTGAGACTCCGTCTCAAAAAAACAGAAAATCTGTCAGAAAGCTCCACTACTTCAGCTGTTTAGAGCTGCTTTTCTTTCCAGATAATGACACATCCTATGGAGAAGTACTGAGAATAGCTGAAAAGAATTGCTTAGGTTTAAATACACAGGAAAAAAAAATTGGCTTTGATACTTTCTTCAATGCTGCTTTGCTCTGCTCTCGCTAAACTCTCCTTCAAAAACAGTGTATTTTTCAACAGAAGATGGAAGAGATCTGATGATTAAAGGAAAATTACTGTTGCTCTCACCACTAACATTCACACAGTATATCTGATTTCAGAAAATCACAACAAACCAATTACCGTACTTCTGACAGTCATACTTCACCCCTAAATGGAATATATGTACAATGGGAAGGGACATGGAGCCTAAGAAGGGTTGATGGTGCCTCGATTGATCATTAGAGGAAACTCCCTCCAAAACATTTTTAATTGTCCTTTTGTTTGTCATCCTGGAAGGTACATCCCTCACACCTTGGGTGATGGATATATCTTTCTTTTGCAAGCTGCAAGAACTATTGTAAATGCAGAAGTAAAAAAGAACCTACATGATGCTAAGAAAGAGTACTTACGAGCTAGGCACAGTGGCTCAAGCCTGTAATCCCAGCACTTTGGGAGGCCACGGCAGGCGGATCACAAGGTCAGGAGTTCAAGACCAGCCTGATCAACATGGTGAAACCCTGTCTCTACTAAAAATACAAAAATTAGCTGGGTATGGTGGCACACACCTGTATCCCAGCTATTCAGGAGCCTAAGGCAGGAGAATTGCTTCAACCCAGGAGGCAGAGGCTGCAGTGAGCCGAGATTGTGCCACTGCACTCTAGACTAGGCAACTGAGCAAGATCCCATCTCAAAAAAAAAAAGAGTATTTATGAAAATAAGGTATCTGGCTGGGCATGGTGGCCCACACCTGTAATCCCAGCACTTTGGGAGGCCAAGGTGGGAGGATCACCTGAGGTTGGGAGTTCGAGACCAGCCTGACCAAAGTGGAGAAACCCCATCTCTACTAAAAATACAAAATTAACTGGGCAAGGTGGTGCATGCCTGTAATCCTAGCTACTTGGGAGGCTGAGGCAGGAGAATCACTTGAACCTGAGATTCAGAGGTTGCAGTGAGCCAAGATCACACCATTGCACTCCAGCCTGGGCAACAAGAGTAAGATTCCATCACACGCAAAAAAAAAAAAAAAAAAAAAGAAAAGGAAAGGAAATAGGGTATCTGTAAATTTATTTACTTAAAGCAATAAATATTCCCCTGGCCCTTGGACTATGCCATACCATAAGAACTTAAGTTGATGTAGCTTTAATTCTTGCTCTTCCTAATGACAAAGAACATTTGCCAAAGAGTATGATGAATAATGAAATCACTTAAAGTGGAGGCTTTCCATTTTACCACAACCTACAGCAAGAAATATATTTACACTATGATTCAATATGCATATACATATTTTTTCATGAAATAATAATTACCCCTACTACATGTGATGCATTTTGATATTTTGTATCCTGTCTTTCTTTTAATGCTGATCTCTATTCACAAAATTGATTTCACAGCCAACTAATAATTCACAACCCACTAATAATTCACAGCCCATAGGACTATAGAAAACAGAAATATATAAGGCAATATCTGATTTATAGAACAATCTCTGACTATAAAGTATTCTTAAAAATACCTTATCCTGGAGGTAAAAGTGGGTAAGCCAAGGTCTGGTGAAGTCAATATCCATAGGAAGTTCGATTTTATTTTATTGATTTCATTTTTCCATCCCTAATATTCCAACTTTGCTTTTGGTCAGTAACACTCTCTGGCCAATTTCAGGGGTTTGCTCCTTCCATTCCTGTGGTAGGCTGAAACTGTTCCCAAAGATAACAGATTCTAATCTCTGGGACCTGCAAATGTTACCAAACGTGGAGAAAGGGCCTTTGAAGATGTGATTAAATTAAGGATCTTCAGATTGAGAAAGTATTTTGGATTAGCTCTGTGGGCCCTCAATGCAATTACACATATCCTCAAAAGGTGGTAGTGGGAAATCTGACACATATAGAGAAGGTAATGTGAAAAGGGAGTAGAGATTTGAAGATGTTGGCCTTGAAGTCTAAAGTGATGTGGCCACAAGCCAATGAATGCCAGTAGCAACCAGAAGCTGGAAGAGTCAAAGAACTGATTCTCCCCTAGAATCTCTGGAGGGAACGCAGCCCTGTCAGTATCTTGATTTTGGCCCAGTGATACTGGTTTTGAATTTATGGACTCTAGAACTGTGAGAGAATAAATTTCAGTTGTATTACACCACCTAGTTTGTGGTATTTTTATTACTGCAGCCTCAGGAAACTAATATGAACGCCATAAAATTGACTTAATAAAAGTGATAGTGCAAAGTACCTAACAGTCACCTGAAACTCTATATACCTAGCTATGTTTCAAGAAAGATTTATGGTAGCTTATAGTAATTCACAAAACACTAATAACACAATTCATAGGTGAAAAGGGAAAAACAAGATGGCTATACAAAACGAAGCCAACAAGGTTTATGCATACATATGTAAAATAAATATATTATGCATAATATATATATAATAGCTCTTGCCTCTAGCCAATTAAAATTTCGCTTTAAACCAGCAACTTACACGAAAAGGAAGTCTTCTTGTTTATATGATTCAGTGGCCATTAGATAAAAACAAGCCAACTCCACAGAAACTAGTACAAAAGACAAGATCAAATTTCTCCCAGGAGTTTCGTTCCTTAGGACTTCCTTTTTGAACTGTAGCCATGCAGAGTATACTCACTACCCCTTTGTAAACGTAAATGTAGTCACTAGACCCAACTTTATAAGGTTTTTTACTATATCATATAGATAAATAACATGTCAAAACTTGATAAAAGCAAATCCTATAGCATAGATTGATTAGACATCAAATTCTAACTCAAAAGTAAATTCTATAGGAGGAAAGAGGGTGTATATACAATACCCCGTAGGTAGGTATATTTTGGAATATTTATGAAATACCTTGAAGGATGCTCAGAAAACGAGTACTGTTTCCTCAGCCAAACTATCAAACATTGAGTACGTGCTGCATACAATGCCTATGGGATGTGGCTTGCTTGAAAACATTTAATACGGACTGAAATACAGTGCTTTCTACTATCTGCCCAGCGATGTCTAGATAACTACCGGGGAGGCAAATGTTCCATCCCTACTCCATGAAGAAGCTCCTGGGCCACTGGGGAAAAGTGCCCCTAACCCAGCGTAGGGGTAGTAAGGAAGGCTTGCACCAAGTGATCCTATTTAACTATTAGAGGATGAGCCGATAGATAGAAGGGAAGGGGAATGGCGCCGAAGATCGGTCAGAAAGACCACACAGCACACGCATCGCCATTGCTTCCGAGTATTTAGGGGCAGGTCTGTAGCCATTCCCAACAAAATATACTACCGAACCCTGCAAGCCCTTCCAAGACAGCCAGTCCTCCGTAACTCTCCTCAGCCCACCACCTCTCGGGGTCCACCACACAGGCGGCGGCGCTAGCTTCACTGCGCAGGCGCCAAGTGCAACTCGGCAGCCTCGAGAGGGGGCGATAGTAACCCCGGGTCGTTCACTAGGGCTCTGCTCTAGCCGCCAAGCTTCCGTTTCTCTACTGCTCCCCGTAGTAGTCGCCGGCGCGAGTTTGGCACCGGATAGGGGGCGGGTCTTCCGGGACAAGGACGCATGGGTGAGGAAGGTCAGGTTCAGGTAAGGCTGTCGGTGATTTTTGGGGGTCTGCAGTGAGGGGCGATGGCTATAGAGATCTACGGGAGTCTCCAACCTTGTAGAGTCGCCAGGAATAGGACGAATCCATTTCATTAGTGACCAGCTCGGACGGTTCACGTGCGTCCAACAAATAACTTGGCCTTTTCCTGCTTCATTTAGGGGATTTGTTAAACGAAGGACACCCGTGTTACTGCTACCGTAATTTCCTCTCAGGCGTAGTTACTCTCTTCCAGATTGGTGAACAGTAGAACGCTCAGTTTCTCTGCTCACCATACGGCCTTCTACACTGTAGCTTTGGGTGGTAGGCTGCAGATTAATTTTGTAACCACCTTAAGAAAAAGACAGTAAGGTGATATTTAGGAAAAATATTTGCGAAATGCGCTCCCAAGTCAAATGTCGGTTTACTTGACACTACTACAGTTCCCATCACATGCAGGTCGAGTCAGGTGGAGGGAGGTGAAAATTGTTCTTGCTGAACTGAATGCAGCTAATACGTTTTCAATGCCATCGATGCCTCTATGACCCCGTAAAATAATCGGTACCGGGCTTTTTAAGCATTCTGTTTAGATTGTTTTTATGTTTAGACTGTTTCTATGACAACGTGTGTACACTGTATGTGAGTTCCTTGGATCCTAATGATTATTAGGGTATGCACTGTGCCGTGAGTTTTGCACGTTAGCCTCACAGCGCAGGTAGTATGACTGTCCTCGTGTGGTCGATGAGAGAACCTGGCAGAGGATAAGCACCATTACAAAAACGTCGTGGCCATTAAAAGGCAGAAGGGAGACTCCTACCAGCTTTTTTCTTCTGCAGGTGGTGCGTTCTGTTAACCGATGTTTTTTGAGAAAATGGAGAACGCTCTCTCAGAACAATTTACGCACACACACGTACATACACATATCAGCATACCGATTTACACTTCCACAGTTTTCAAAATGCTGAAGCACACCCATATTAAGAACTCTTGCACTTCATCTTTACCTGTCAAGGAGAAAAGGCAAACCTAAAACAAAGCTACTTATTGAAATAAACTGATCTTTTCAATGCATCAGACCTATCAAAAAGGTTTGCCCTTTTATGCCAAAGTAAAAATATGGGAATTTTCTTCCCATATGGGCTTAATTTGTTTTTCTCGGCACATTTGAGTAATTTGGTTTCGCTTAGCATTTTCAGCTCCAGTTAACTATTCTTCATGATATTACAGTTTTCTTTGGTTCACATTTTAAAAAAGGTAACACTTAAAATGATTTGTATCCTCTGAGAATGGTTTCATGTGAATCAAAATGTAATTGACATGCAAATTATAAGAAAAGCTCCCTTGTCATTCTTCGTGAGAGAAATGTGTCCGTTCACTGTGGAAGGAAAGGACAAAGCAGTGTCACTGCTAATTGTTAAAACCACTTTCAGTTTCCTCCTGTTTAGCAAGTGGGCCTTTGTTTCCAGTAAGGGATTCAGGTTTTTTCCTTTGTCCAACATAAAATTTTAGGACTTGGATTTTATGATATAACCATGTTCCAGCAGATTCTAATGTGACCTTTTTACTTACAAGTTATGTGTCCCAGTAATTTGCCACATTTCCGAAATGGGCATGGAGATAACAGCATTCTGTGGTGGCTTCAGTGACTACTGCCCTACTGAGTTCCCTCCTCCTCCGGCTACCTTTGTAAGTGAGGTCATCATTCCAGGGAGGCACAGAGTTTTACTATCTGGAGTATGTCTGTCTGTCTGTCTCTTTTTAATGTGATTAAGAACAAGGAATAAACAAATTTGTCTGTGTAGAACATATGAACACCATACTTACAGTTCTAAGTTCTTTCTTTTTTTGTAAGTTACTGTTTACTGAGTGCCACTGTTACTCATTCTCACGCTAGTCCTGCAAGCTTTGTTTTCAGAAAAGGAAACTCAGATTTAGAAAGGATGAGTAACTGTTCACAACAACCCAAGGATTAAGTGACAGAGCCAGTAGTCAAACCTAGACCTCAGGATTCCTTGTTACCTCTTTATTTGCAAATAAAGTGACTTGGAATTCAGAAGATATTTTCCTGAAAACACTGTCACAAAATGATAGTTCCCAGACCAGCTTACAAATAACTAACTGTGCACATACCATGCAATTACAGCAGAAATGTATTCTGATGCCACAATGGTAATTAAGCAAAACAAAGCAAGTTGATGAAGAAACTGTTGTTTTTTAACATAGTGTTTGGAAAAAGATAACTTTAAAGGGCAAAGGAAGAGAAAAGGCATGCAAAGAAACTAGGTGACTTTCAGACATTTGCAAGGCTTTTTAGAGGTTTATGGCACTGATTTGTTTACACATTAAACTGTTAAATGACTTTCTTTCACCTTGAGAATATAACCCTAGATCGAACAACCCCACCCTGAACCAGAATTGGGAAAGAAGTGAATCAGGGAACTGAGAATGCTGAATGGAAAAGGAAGAACCGGCTTGTAGGTCATGAGATGCTGGGGAGGGAGGGGTGAACCTTGGATCTGACAGTTCTACCATTGCCAGCCTTCAGGTGGCACTATTGACCCAAGATTGCTTGGCCGGTGTTCTGAATGGTTTTGAGGTTGACAATTTGAGATCAGCCTCTGCTTTTTTTTTTTTTTTTTTTGAGACACAATCTTGCTCTGTCGCTCAGGCTATAGAGTACAATAGTGCAGTCATATCTCAGTGTAACCCTCAAATTCCTGGGCTCAAGCAATGTTCCCGCCTCAGCATCTACAGGTAACTGGGACTACAGGTGTACACCACCATACCAGACTAATTTTCTTTTCTTTAATTTTTTTTTTCTGTAGAAACAAGGTTTCACCATGATGCTTGGGCTGGTCTTGAAGGCCTGGCCTCAAGCAATCCTCCCACCTCAGCCTCTCAAAGTACTGGGATTATAGGCATGAGCTACCATGCCCAGCCTCCTCTGTTAATGGATCTTGAAATAGGCATTAAAACTTCCTTGATTTAAAAACGGTTTGTTTTCTTGCAAGAACTATTTTGAAATTCACTTGGCACCATTTTTATGTAGGAGGGTTTTTTGGTACATTCCTCCCATTGGTTTTTCAAGGTTTATGCCTTTATCCTGCTTGAATATCAGCACCTTTTCATCTCAGCTGAACTGTTTCCCAGGATAATCTTTGAGTCAGCAAAGATTCTCATCTCACTACTAAAATTTCTCATAAATTGGCATATTCTGCCAGCAGTAACCCCTACATCTGGTTTAAACTGAGTTGATATATTTATTCCACCAGCAGCTTTCTTGATTTTTACGTATCCCCTGAATACTTTTTTATATCTATTAGCTGTAATTTGTGCATGTCACGGATATCATTCTTATACCTGTTTCAGTGTTGTGTGCCTCTGAAGAAAAAGCTACTGTTTTCAGCTGATAAAAAGTTAGCTAGTTTGCATTAAAGCAGAATATATAAGATGGAAGCAACCTCACAATTCATACATGCCTTCTGTTTTTAAGAAAATGAATCTTTTGAGCTATTGGATTTATTTCTATAGGGCTACTGTCTATTTGTTTTTCCCAAATGGCACTCAGTCTCTAGGCAGAATTCACTTCAGTAACCTAGAAGCCAAATGACCTCATAACTCATTAGCAGTTCTCAGAGCCATCTGGAGCACTTGAGGAGAACAGTGTTCAAAGGACTGATAGTAAAAACAACAGCATAATTATGTCTTTGCCATGATTACACCTTTTGATGGCAAGCAGTCAGCATATTAATGCTGCAGATTGCTTAGGTGGGTGTTTTCTGAAGGTGTAATAATGCTGGACTAGGATAACTTGTTTCCCTGTCTTCTTCATCCCCAGCCTACAAATAGGTAAACAGTCAGTCAGTTAACCTGGTGAATTACAAAATAGTTGGTTGTGAAAGAGGCAGTACAGCAAGGAAGTAACAGCATATAAATACAAAATGCAAACATCGCAGATGTCAAGCATGGGAAGGAAATAGCCATTTGAACTGTGGCTATTCTCCACTCTACGGCATATCCTGCTAACACTGCACTCATCCATGAGTGGTTTGCTGTGTTTTCATTTTCTAAAGTATTCATTAGATAATCTTGGCATTTCTCACCCTAACCTGTATCTTTCTTCTCATTTTCTATAGGAACTCTAACTCCTTGCCACTCAAGAAATGTCCTCCCTTTCAGAATATGCCTTGCGCATGTCTCGTCTCAGTGCTCGGCTATTTGGTGAAGTCGCCAGGCCTACTGATTCCAAGTCTATGAAAGTGGTGAAACTGTTCAGTGAACTGCCCTTGGCCAAGAAGAAGGAGATTTATGATTGGTATCCAGATCACCACATTTACTCTGGACTCATGCGGACACTCCGACTTCTGGGACTCTACAGGTGATGACAAACACAAAGAGGGACGTATGAGAGGCTTTTTTTCAATAGATCAGAAAAGGAAAAAAAAAGCCTTTCTTATACTAGAGCCCAGGTAGTTCAAAAGGTACAGTTTGCAGGAGAATGGCTTCTTTCAAAATACCCATAATGGAGAGACCAAAAAAAAAAGAAAAGTCAGGCTTGTTGGAAGACATATTTTAATTATGTCTACAACATGACTAATGTTGAATAGATACTGAGCTGTAGAGAGGTGTTTAATTAATTGTTAATCTAAGAGCACTCTAAAAAGGATGTAGAGAGGCCAGGTGTGGTGGCTGTAATCCCAGCACTTTGGGAGGCCGAGGTGGGTGAATCATGAGGTCAAGAGATGGAGACCAGCCTGACCAACATGGGGAAAACCCCTCTCTACTAAAACTACAACAATGAGCTGGACTTGGTGACGCGCGCCTGTAGTCCCAGCTACTTGGGAGGCTGAGGCAGAAGCATCACTTGAACCTGAGAGAGGTTGCAGTGAGCGAAGATCACGCCACTGCGCTCCAGCCTGACGACAGAGCCAGATTCTGTCTCAGCGGTTGAGGGGGCAGGGGAGATGCAGTAAAAGCCCCAGAAACACCAAGGCTGCCAGGGCAGTGGGCTCTTGTTATCAGATGAACAGAGTGTCTGACCCACACCTGATGTGCTGCGTAACTGGTATGTGGAGCCTTTTTTCTCTTCTGGTAGCGTTTTTGTTGACATTGTAATTTCTTCCTCTTCTTTTCTGGCATTTTTCTTTTGTATACTTTTTGATGTATTAACTTGGTCTTGATAAGCTGTAGTTTGCCTTTAAGGATAATATGTAAATCACACAGGCTCTTAATACCATGTGTTGGTACTGGGAAGTAAGTGCTTAGGACTGTATGTTTCTCTAGAAAGAAAAAAGGTCAGGCCAGGCACAGTAACTCATGCCTGTAATCCCAGCACTTTGGGAGGCTCAGGCAGGCAGATCACATGAGGTCAGGAGTTTGAGACCAGCCTGGCCAACATGTTGAAACCCCATTTCTACTAAAAATATAAAAATTATCTGGGCATGGTGGCACGTGCCTGTAATTCCAGCTACTTGGGAGGCTGAGGCAGGAGAATTACATGAACCCAGAAGGCGGAGGTTGCAGTGAGCTGAGATCATGCCACTGCACTCCAACCTGGGCAACAAAGCAAGATTGTGTCTCAAAAAAAAAAAAAAATCAAATACCTATGTGATCGTTTTCATTAAATTATTTCTTTGGCCAGGTGTGATGGCTCACACATGTAATCCCAGCACTTTGGGAGGCCAAGGCAGCTGACCACTTGAGATCAGGAATTTAAGACCATCCTGGCCAACATGGTGAAACACCGTCACTACTGAAAATACAAAAATTAGCTAGCCTTGGTGGTGCATGCCTGTAATCCCAGCTACTTGGGAGGCTGAGGCGGGAGAATCACTTGAACTCAAGAGGCGGAGGTTGCAATGAGCCGAAATCACACCACTGCACTTTAGCCTGGGCAAGAGAGAGAGACTTCGTCTCAAAAAAAAAAAAAAAAAAAATATTTTTTTTTTAATATGTGCATTACAAAGAATTCAAATAGTACATAATTGTATAAAGTTAAAATACCTGCCATCTTATTAAAAATGAAACAAGTTGTAATTGGACTTATTTTGGGCAACAGTACTAAAATTATTTGGAACCACTTACTCTAATACAATAGAATTAATAGTACAGGATGACATTCATTCCAGATAGCGAAAGATTGGTACATTCACTATCCAATGGATATTTTTTAAGTACCTTCCATGTGCAGGCACTTAAGATGACACTAGGGGAATAGCAGTGAACAAAATAGATTTGCTTGGCTAACATATTATTATAGGATACCATCTATGATATGTTTTGAATGTTTGGAATTGCTTTGGGACTACCTCCAGGCTTAGAAAATAAAAACTAATTTTATTATAACTCAAAATAAAATATTGGGAGACGGATATCCTGAGTAGAAGATTATAACCCATGAAAAAATCAGATTCAGTTATTTTAATTTATGTTTGCTGCTGCTCTCTGTTTGTTTGAAAAAATAAAGCTTAGCTATCTTTGGAGACAGGGAAAAACTACTTTATCCATAGAAAAGCAGAATTATTTTCATGTACTCATTAGGTATGGTAAATGGCACCTCTAAGATGCTAGACCTCCTGTGGCATCAGGCGGGATGAAACTAGACAGTCTCCAATAAAGAAAATATTATTCAGAGACCTGCACAAGAGGGAGGGAAGTACCGGTTCTCAGAAACAATTGATTCACTCAGTTAACCAGGTGCCTAGCTTATATCATCAACAGAGACAGAGTCACCAGAAAGCTATCTTTCTGTCCAACGGTTGATGAGAATGAGGGAGAGGTGGAGAAGAGGGGAAGGAAAATAATAATAATAAGTAAATTTTATGATCTGTTACAAAGTTGAATGTACTATGGAAAAAAATAGTAGAGCCAACTGAGCAGGATCCAGAGTGCTGACAGGGCCTGCGGTGGGTGGGGAGAGGCCAAGTTACAGGATGAAACAGGACAGTCAGGGTCAGCCTCGTTGGGGAGTTGAGGTTTAAGCAGAGGCTTGAAGGTGGCGAGTGAGCCGAGTAGGACTTGGGGAAGAGCTGGCAAGGCAGAGGGGCAGGAGCACAGCGAAGACCTTAAGGTGCGAGTGTTCCGTTCCAGGAGGAGTGTAGGCTACTAGGAGGGTGTGGGATTAGAGACAGATTGCAAGGGGCTATGAGGCCATAGTAAGGACGATGGCTTTTTCTCTGGGTGAAATGGGGAACCATTTGCAGAGCTATGAACAGGAGTGGCATGACCTGACTTATATTTTGGAAGAATTATTCCAGCTGCACTGTTAAGAATTGTTTGGGGATACTCACCACTAATCCCAGAGAGTTGTATACTGTCCATGATGTTCATGGATAGCCTAGAGACTTAGAAATTAAGCTCAGCAAACTCCTCTCTTACATTTCATTCATGCACTGTTATTATCCATACTTTCCAGGTGAGGAAACTAAGGTGCAAGGAGGTAAAGTCACTTATTCAAGGCGACAGATCTAGTAAATGGTGGAGCTGTGATTTGAACCCAGGTTTACGTTCCAGAGCTTACATGTTTAAACATCGTACCATTCTTTTTTTTTTTTTTTTTTGAGACGAAGTTTCGCTCTTGTTACACAGGCTGGAGTGCAATGGCGCGATCTCGGCTTACTGCAACCTCTGCCTCCTGGGTTCAGGCAATTCTCCTGCCTCAGCCTCCTGAGTAGCTGGGATTACAGGCACGCGCCACCATGCCCAGCTAATTTTTTGTATTTTTAGTAGAGACGGGGTTTCACCATGTTGACCAGGATGGTCTCGATCTTTTGACCTCGTGATCCACCCGCCTCGGCCTCCCAAAGTGCTGGGATTACGGGCTTGAGCCACCGCACCCGGCCCATCGTACCATTCTTTAGGTATCTGGGCTTAAGATGTAGACTTCGTTTACAGTAGAAGCAGTCTTCAACTTCTACACCATCCACATACTTACATAGTCCTGGGTGCCTTGATTCCTTTAGTATCTTTTGATTTGGCTTCCTTCTGCCTGAGCCTTTCCCTAGCAGCCTTTCTGTGTGAGTACCCACTGCCATTAAGGTTTCACCGTGTTGGCCAGGCTGAGCTTCCTCTGGACCTCACCCATTCTTAGTAGATACTAGTTCCTAGGGCAGTCAGGGTCTCCGTGTAGCTATTGAAACTGATAACCAGTTTTTTCTCCTCTCTGTGTTTAGTCTTAGTACTGCAGGGAAATTGGGGATAATCATTAGTGTTGTGTCATTGTTATGTAGGTTTACATGGGCTGGCCTGAGAATTTCATTGCAGCTTGTGGCACTGTTTCTGTGAGAGGAAACGTATTCATAAGCGAACTTTTGGAATGCACCGCATTTGTATGTTAGGGACCCCCTGTACTTTTTGTTCACCAAGCTGAGCATGTGGCCATCTTATAAACATCAAAGATTGATAACCAGAATGACCTAAGAGCAGTGCTAGATTGGTATACTTTTCTACTCTTGTAAAAACAACTGGTTAATTGTTTTTTCCTTCTTCATTCAGAGATGAGCATCAGGATTTTATGGATGAGCAAAAACGACTAAAGAACCTTCGTGGAAAGGGGAAACCAAAGAAAGGAGAAGGGAAAAGAGCAGCAAAAAAGAAGTAATGTTGGTCCCTCAAGAGGGAGAATTTCTTCCTCAGTGACAGAGAGAAAAAGTGCATTTATTGTCTTTCCACATATTGGAGGAATGTCATCTTCCTAAATGAAGGTTATTTGGAGGAACACAGTCGTACCCTTGTTGAAATCTAATCCAGTTAAATTGTAGCTGGTTTCTTGAACACATTCTAACTGTGCAAAATTATTTTGGCCTTGGTCATGTTATGTGATGTTTACCTAGTTCTCTAATGAAATGAATAAATAAGTTATTGTTTGATGATCTGTTTGGGGTGAGGCAGGATGATGAGGAATGGAGGGGAAACTTATATTAAGTGAGCATCCTATGGTGTTCCCATTTCTCCCTTCTTGCTTACTAACCCAGCCCTAAACTTCTTTCATCTCGGGCCCTTCAGCCACTGTCTCCACCACCAAGCTCACAAACTTTCAGTGCCCCTTTGCCTACTCCTCTGAGAAATCTATTAAGATGAATTTGTAGGGTAAATATCTTTTAAAAGGAAGTATTGTATACCTGCTCTATACAAGATACTGGTGCCCTGGTAATACAAGTGGTTAGCAAGAGAAATACTCCCTACCTCGTATAAGTTTCAGTCTTATGGGAGGGACTGAATTACATACAATTGTATGCACTACGTAATTACATATAATTGTATTACATGCTACAAAGGAAAAAGTCAGCCTTTGTAAGAGCATGGATGGATGGATGGATGGGTGGATGGGTGGAGGCAGAGGGAGATAGCCAGCAGCCCAAACCACATTAGGGAATTTAAAGAAAGCTTCCCTAAAGAAATGATATTTAAGCTGAACCTTGAAGGATAAATAAGAGGTAGCCAAAAGGAAAATAGTGAGAAAGGTGTTTGAGGCAGAGAGTACCATTTCCAAAGCCCAAAGATATGAAGAAATTGTCTGTTCAAAGAATACTGACTTGTTGGCCAGGTGCAGTGGCTCATGCCTGTAATCCAGCATTTTGGGAGGCCAAGGCAGGTGGATCACAAGGTCAGGAGTTGGAGACCAGTCTAACCAACATGGTGAAACCCCATCTTTACTAAATATAGAAAAATTAGCCAGGCATGGTGGCGCGTGCCTGGAATCCCAGCTACTCAGGAGGCTGAGGCAGGAGAACCACTTGAACCCGGGAGTTGGAGGTTGCAGCGAGCTGAGATCACGCCACTGCACTCCAGCCTCAGTGACAGAGCGAGACTCCATTTAAAAATAAAAGAACACTGACCTGTTCGTGGTTGGCCATAAGAAAATAGAGGCCAGATCATGAAGGGCTTTGCAAATTCTGTGAAAAAGCTTGAACATAACCAGAAGTTATTTCTATGAAAAATGACTGTTGTATAGATTTGAGTAGCTCACTGCTGATTTTATTGTGTTCCAGCAATGAGTTTCCAAAGAGATTGTGAGGCCTTCTCTGATTTTTTTTTTTCCAAAAGTTGTTCTGAATCTTTAGCATGTCCAGTAAATTTTTTAATAACCTTTTTTATTGTGATAACAACATAAAATTAGTGATGTTAATCACATTTAAGTGTACGGTAGTGTCAACTATATGCATGTTATTGCACTCACGTACCTTTAACCCCTGTTTCTACTTCTCAGGTAAAGAATACAAAGTGCATAGGCAGGAGTTTGTATAGTATGTATGATTTCTAAGGTAGAAAGAATTCCAGTACCTATGTTTAAATGAATGTTACTTTAAAGATACCTAATCCAGATAGTATGCCTAGGGCCTATTTTATAGCCTGTTTTTTAGAAAAAAGAATTAAACTAAAATTGGGTGGTTTGTGTCTGATAGAAGTGAATTCCTAATAGCTTGATGGTGTCTAAAAAAAATTAAATTTAAAAAGAAGTGAATTCCAGCAGAAGGCTTGAGAATTCATTCATTCAGAACTTTTTACTGAGCACCTGCTGTGTGCCTGACACATAATAGGTGTAGAGGATACAGAGACAAATAGACTTAGTCCCTAAGATTGTGTGAATGAGCATGTGTGTGTTACAGAGTATTGGCAAGATCACAGAAATATGCTTAGAAAAGTGCAGATGCACTGTTATTCTTGGCCAATGCAGCTGAGCCAGGTGTAGGTAGATGATTACCCCAGGATATTGGATTGAGAAACAAGCTCTCAGCCTGACCCCAGTGTAGCTAAGTAGACGTTTGAATTATGTGATCTCCAGCTTTTGGAAAAGATCTGAATGTAAGAGGAACTTAAGAGAATTCACATGATAATTTAGAGAGAATAGTGCATTACATTCTAACCGCAGGACTTGAGTCAGAAACAAAGAATCGATGTATTGGTTTGCCAATGAAAGAACTTCAGTGAGATCTCAGACCCTGACCCTGCAGTGAGCCTTAATAATGGTTGACAGGGAAGTTTGTAGATAACGCAGCAGTAGATCAGTGTGCCACTGCTCCAGGCTGAAAATCAGAAATGAAAGCTAAAATATATTTGTACATAAGCTATACCTTCAACTGATAGAGCAAGCTGTATGACTCAAAACAGCCTGTACAGAACTACGATGGACCAGCTAGAACATATTAATAGAAGATAAGGAACAGTTAACTCTTGAGAGCAGGGAAGTCAAATTTCAGGACACCAGTGAGCAAGGGTTAAGATGAAGACTAATCAGAAAAAATCTTTAACTCCAAGTTTAGACTAGCTAGTTTGTTTAATTGGATTTCTCTGGTCAAAACCTAAACTATTGGTGCTTTCTAAGGTTTGGGAATTAGTATGCATAGGCCATTTTGCCTTCTATTTCAGCATAACATATTAAAAAGACTGGGTTTTGGATTCAAAAGTATAGGTTTGTGACATAGTGTACTTACTGGTTATGTGACCTTAATTCAGTTACCTTCTTTGAACCTCTTTCCTTCTCTATAAAATCATAGTACTTGATTAGATTCATGAAATAAGATATTTGTGAAAAGGACTCTGTAAATTACAAAAAGTTAAAAACTTAGCCGGGCGCAGTGGCTCAAGCCTGTAATCCTAGCACTTTGGGAGGCTGAGGTGGGTGGATCGCCTGAGGTCAGGAGTTCAAGACCAGCCTGGCCAACATGGTAAAAGCCCAACTTAAAAAAAAAAGAAGTTAAAAACTTTTACATACAGTGTACTGTGTGACTAGTAAGTACTGCTGTATCTTACTAGCACGATTTTCGTAGCAGCGTTGACACATATCTGCTAAAAATATAAAGTTCCCCACAGTTACAAGCAGCATGATAGGTTCAGGAAGAGGAGGTAGATGAGAGGTAACATCTTATTATTTACGTAATTTGGGCTCCAGAAGTTGTTTTTTAAGCACCATATATGTTTGTGTTTCAAGACAAACATAAGGCATCATATATTTAAACATAACCATAATGCTTGTATTTGTAAATCATCTTCCAAGAAAGAATAAATCAAAATTTGAAATTCTGCCTGCTTCACCCTGTCTCTCTTTTATCACACGCTTCTCCCAAACTCCTGTGTGCCTAATTTTAGAGATTTAGAGCAGGGAACAAACCTCAGGAGCAATAAATAGGGGGGAACATCTGTTATCCTGCCAACCCTGTCTTCATGGCTTTCCTTAAGTACTCAAGAAAAACTCAGAGAAAGCATTTCTTAAAAAAAAAAAAAGAGAGAGAGAATCAGCAAGACAAACAATATCACATTCAAGAAGACTTAGATAAAACAGAGAGACTGTCCAACCCTGGATATTAAGATAACTGGGAAAACAGTAAAACATTTATGCTGAAGATAAAACAGTGAAATGTTTTTTAAATGCCATAAAGGCAGCAAAATGGAGAGAAGGGTTATAAAACTACCCAGACGCAATTTTGTAACTTAATTGGAGATGTGGCAATATTACAGGTTCACATTAAAGTAGAGACTAGAGTTAAACCAAGGTAGATTCTAAGACCTTTTTCATTCTACTTAAGGAAATGTGTGTTTTCTGAAAGGACGGATTCGTTTATGGAGAACTTTCTGTGTCTCTGATGCAGAAGACTGAGCTCTACCTAGCACTGTCTCAGTAAGACAATCTAAATCAGTGCTCAATGCAGAATCATTTTCCTGATAGAGCCACACAACTATTGATTGGCTCTTTGAGTTTAGAATAAAAACTATTCTAAACAGAAATTGAAAGTTTTAGGATACAGATAAATCTAAAAAGAGCTCCAGTCTGAAAATATCTGAGAAATGGCCAGTGGGTTAAGTACTGAACTAGTAACAAGTTAATATTTAATAAGGGAGTTAGAGATAAAAGAGGTCAATGTTTGCATCATCAGGAATGACTTCCCAAGCAGGAAAGCAATAAATGCAGATAAGGCCAGCATTTCTGGAGTGTTTAATACATTGTGCTTTGTAGGCTATATCTTTTTTGGCCTCCCTCATATGATAAGTATCCCCATTTTGCAGATGAGGAGACCAAGGCCCAAGACCACACAGCTATGAATGTCTACCCCTCGAAGTCCCAGTGTCTTCATGACCTGGTGATATAGCTCTAATCTCTCTTGAGTATCATTATATCAGTATCATTTTCAAGTGCTTCACCATTTGCTAGACACCCTGCTTCACTCTTTTTTTTTTTTTTTTTTTTTTGAGACAGCATCTGGCTCTGTTGCCAGGCTGGAGTGCAGTGGCACAATCTCAGTTCATTGCAACCCCTGCCCCCTGGGTTCGAGTGATTGTCCTGCTTCAGCCTCCCGAGTAGCTGGGACTACAGGTGCTTGCCACCACATCCAGGTAGTTTTTGTGTTTTTAGTAGACGGGGTTTCGCCATGTTGGCCAGGCTGGTCTCAAACTCCTGACCTCAAGTGATCCACCCACCTCAGCCTCCCAAAGTGCTGGGATTACAGGCGTGAGCCACCCGGCCTGCTTCAATCTTCAATCCCTACAACAGCCCTAAGTATTATTTTCCCCCATTTTATACACAAACAAGTTCAGAGCTGTGGTTTTCAACTCTGATTATGCATTAGAATCAAGATCCCTGTCACTTGTCGCATTCCAGACCAATCACAATAGGAGTGGACAGAGAAAAGTTCCTTAGGTGGCTCTACTGTGCAGCCGAAGTTAAGAAATATGGTTTAACACAGTATTTCTCAAACTTAAGTATTCATCAGTATCATCTTGAGGGTTTGTTCAACATAAATGGCTGAGCCCCACTCCCAGTTTCTTATTCAGCTGGTCTCCAGCAGGGCCTAAGAATTTGTATTTGTAATAGGTTCCCAGGTGTGGCTGATGATGCTGGTCTGGAGATCATGCTTTGAGAACTATGGCTTAAAGTAACTTGGCCAAAGTCCCCCTACTGGTAGATTCCTGTGCCCCCTAGCTCCCTTGCGAAATTCCATAGCCGTCCTGGAGCCTTTCCCTAACTCTAAAGGAGCAAAGCTTTGGAACCTAACAGCAAAACAAAAACAACAACAACAAAACAAAAGATGTAATACATGGAGAAAGTTTTAGTTACCATGCCCAAGTAAAGATGTTACTTGGATTATGGAGCAGGGCACCTGCCAGGGCTGCCAGCTGCTGTGTGAAAGTTGCCTTTCAGGGACATGATAAGCTGGCGGAGGTCTGGTTCAGCAACATCACAGCCAAAGCCAAATCACTGCTGCTGATTCTATTAAAACAAGCCTTGGACCAAAAGGAATGGAAAAAAGATTTGAGGTGGAAAAGGCAATGTACCACTGCAAATGCTGGCGCCACCATTCTGAAACAAATGCAAGTGTCACATCCAGCAGCAGAATGCTGGGAGAGCTGAGGCTCAAGATATAGAAGCCAGAGATGGCACCGCATCAGTAGGCGCTGTTGCTGGCTCTCATAGGTTTCCGGGCCAAGCTTCTTCAGCAAGGGATTCATCCAACCATTACTTCCAAGTCATCCCAGAAGTCTGTGGAAAAGTGTATTGAGATCCTGAGTAACCTATCTCAACCTGTGGAACTGAATGACAGAGAAACTTTGTTAAATAGTGCAACCAGTTCACTGAACTCACAGGTTGTCTTTCAGTGCTCAAGTTCTGCTTTCTTCAACGAATGTAAATGTAGTGATGAAAGTGACCCAGCCACAGCTACTGCTGTAAATCTTAGAGATATTAAAATATAGTCATGTGCCATATTAACAGTATTTCAGTCAATAACACTGCATATATGACAGTGGTTATATTTGCTGTACCTTTCCAATGTTGAGATACGTAGTATTCAGTATAGTAACATGCTGTACCCGTTTACAGCCTCCAAGCAATAGGCTATGCTACGTAACCTAGGTGTGTAGTAGGCTATACCACCCAGGTTTGTATAAGTACACTATGATGTTTGCACGACAAAATCACCTAACAATGCCTTTCTCAGATGGTACCCCATTGTTAAGCAATGTATGACTGCAGTTAAGAAAGGTGGTGGAAAAAAATTGATGACTGTGAGTTGGTGGAAGGTCTTGTTCTCACCCAGAAAGTGGTAAAATCTGGCATAACCCAATTTGAAAAGGTTAAGATTGGGCACATTCAGTTTTGCTTATCTGCTCCCAAACCAGATATGGAAATCAAGTAGCAGTTTCTGACAATGTTCAGATGGACTAAGTGCTATCAGAGAGAGAGCCTATATTCTAAGTTTAGTTCAGCAAACTTTTACAAATGAGATATAATGTCCTTCCCATATAGAACACTAAGAGATGCTCCTAGTGATCTGGCATGACATTTCCTGAACAAAATTATTATGGTGTTAAACTCTCTTGAAAAAGAAGGGCCAGGTGTGGTAGCTTATGCCTATAATCCCATCACTTTGGGAGGCCAAGGCAGGTAGATCACCTGAGGTCAGGAGTTCGAGACCAGGCTTACCAACATGGTGAAACCCCATCTCTACTAAAAATATAAAAAATTAGCTGGGCACCTCTAATCCCAGCTACTCGGGAGGCTGGGGCAGGAGAATCACTTAAACCCAGGAGGTGGAGGTTGCAGTGAGATGAGATCATGCCATTGTACTCCAGCCTGGGTGACAAGAGTAAGACTCCATCTCAAAAAAAAAAAAAAAATGAAAAAGATGTTTAATTCATTTGTAAGACAATTGGAACCAAGCCAGCTGCTCATATTGACCGATTCACACTGACATGCTGGGTTTTGCTGAGTTAGCTAAGGAAGTCAGTTTAAATGGTTCTGAAAAACTGCTCAAGATTACACACTGTGCAAGTGCTGGAAAAACAGTTAAAATTGTCACAGGACTGAAGAACTGAGTCCTCCATTCATGATATACTATGTGTTATTTGCTGTTTGGTGAAGAGAGCTCTTACTGCAGAAGGTGGTGCTCCAATAGAATTGGCCGTATGGTTAACTGAATGTTTGTGAACATTCATGGTAAGGAATTGTACTGTGTTCATGTTTTGCAGATGCTATGGAGGTCATCCAATTACACTAGCTGAAAATGCTGGCTTTGAATCCCATTTCTACAGTAACAGAACTAAGAAATCAGCATGCCTAACAAGAAAAAATTGCAGGCATTAATATCAAAAGGGTGGTATTTCCATTTTGAAGGAACTGATTGCCCAACTTTTGTGATTCCATTCATTGCTCTGACCCTAGCAAATGAAACTGTCCAGAGAATTCTTAAAACTGATGATTTGGTAAATGCTTAGTAATCTGGATAACACTGACTGACTTACACTCTTATAGCTACTAGTAGTGTGGCTGAAGAGGACGATCACCTAAGTGCTCCTTATTATTTGGAAAATTGTTTCCTCTATGAATTCCTTGTCTTGGTCTTCCAATTGGCATTAGCTTGAAATTGTATTGCTACAATTTAGTGAACACATTAAATATTTGGTTTCCAGAAAAGATAATTATTTACATTTAATTTATATAATTTATTTTATAATTTTTATCCAAATTTTAATCGACATTTTTGGAGTGTGATAAAATCATTCACATTTTCAAAACCCATTTGGAAAAACAAATAGGAGAGGACACAAGAGATATTCTAAAATGCATTCTAAAATAATGTGGAGACCCATATGAGATGCTGAAAATTATGTGATTAAAATTGATTTTTAAAAATCAGACCACTGGCATTGGTGGTCTCAAAGAGATATTTGTACACTCATGTCTATAGTGGCATTATTCAGACAAATGGTCAGCTTCTGAACACAGAAGTACACACACACACACACACACTCACAAGGAAGTGAGAAAGAAATTTATCCATTTCTCTAAAAAAAAAATCAATTAAACACAAGGACAGTAATGTAAAAATTGAAAGAAAATGAGGAACTGAAAAGCTATAAGGCATGTAGAAAACAGCAAAATAACAGAAGTCCCTCCTTATCAGTAATTAGTTTAAATATAAGTGGATTAAAGTCTCTAATCAAAAGACAGATTAAAAGAATGGATAAAAACACATGATCTTGGCCGGGCAGGGTGGCTCATGCCTGTAATCCAAGCACTTTGGAGGCCA